GGTGTAAAAAAAATAGCAACAAATTGGTTGACGTCTTTTATGGATGGCCCCATATTTCAAAAATTATATATCTTATTTTCAAAAAGGTCATGGTGTAGAAATAAATATTACTGTTCTTACACATTTTTAATTTCACTTAGGAAAAATAAGAATGTTAATTGTATTTTTTAAATACAAAAATTGCATGATCAAACCAAAACTACATTAAAAGTGGGAACCATATAATCTTTCGATGATATGAGAAAACAATAGAAAATGTACCCGTTTTGATCAATTATGCTGCCCTTTGAAATTTTATCAGTGCTTAAAGTCATCAGTTCATACTAAGTTCATCAGGTCATACATAAAGTCATCAGTTCATACTTAAAACCATCAGCTCATACTTAGTCATAAATTCATACTTAAATTCATAAATTCCTACTCAAACTTAAAGTCATCAGTTCACACTTAAGTTCATCAGCTCATACTTAAAGTCATAAATTCATACTTAAATTCATAAATTCCTACTCAAACTTATAGTCATCAGTTCACACTTAAGTTCATCAGTTCATACTTAAAGTCATCAGTTCATATTTTAAAGTTATCAATTAAACTTAAAGTTACAGAAATCAGTTCATGCTATAAGTCATCAGTTCATGCCAAAAGTCATCAGTTCATACTTAAACTCATAAATATCTACTCAAACTTAAAGTCATCAATTCATACTTAAACTTATAGACATCAGTTCATGCAAAAAGTAATCAGTTCATACATACTTAGTCAGTTCATAATTAAAGTCATCCATACATAGTTAATGTACTTAAGGTCATCGGTTCATACTTAAACTTAAAGTCATCAGTTCATACATAAATTCATCAGTTCATAATTAAATATAGCATAACATCAGTTCATACGTATAGTCATCACACTATAGTTTGAGACAATTGTTCATATTTAATTTTAAGCTATCAATTATTTAAAAAAACAACTACACTTATTGAATTAGACAAAAAAATAAGTTGGACACAAGAGAATTATTGAGACTTTAGGCTTACAAGCTGACATGGAAGTATATAGACAATAAATCTCAGGCACATTGAAAACCTCAAAGTCTGTTTAAATTTTATAATCATTATAAATTATCCAGTTTTTGCACTCAAAATTAATGAACATTTTTCAAAACTCCAGTCAGTCTTCAGAGACTGTTTAGCCACTGCTATGATCTATTTTTAATCAGGATCAAGTCGAACAAAAACAAGATTCTATTGTCAGAGAATTACAAAAATAAATCTAAAAATATGCATCATGTACTTAATTCACAAACAAAAATTTAGGTGCTTTGGAGTATGATTTGGAAAATTAAAGTGTCAGAAATGTGTATACAGTTAGTTATGATAAAAATATAGACATTTACAAGAAACTAGTAATCGCCAGGTCAATAACCTAAAGAAAAACAAGAATCAGCAATAAGATTTATCATCTCTCATTGGAAAGAGGATTATATGTTGAGCCCTTCTGACATTAATTGGTGCACAGTTAGCAGGCAGTAGCAGGAAAGTTTGTAAGTTCATGTGGCTTGCCAGCCATGTGGTTGTCATTTCTTATTAAAATAAAACCCTCAATACTAAAGAAAGAGTGGAATTAGATGTATGTGAGTGGGATTTAATTTATCTGAGTGAACATATTTCATTGTAAAAATATTGAATATTAATAAATTATCAGCATTTTGAAAAATTGGGTGACTAAAATATTCATAAATTACTATTCTTTTAACGTTTTTTTCCTATTGGCTCATCATACAATAGAATGTATTACATGCACCAATGGTAATCTGCTAATTTTTATGAAGATTTGAAAATTATGTTTTTGAAATATTTAAACTTCCGTATGGGTCCATGAAACACTTATATATCTGTCTAGTGTTTTAACCAAAACTGTGTTTGAGCCTCATGAAAATGAATCCAGAATTTTCCTGGCCTCCCTGACTCCACTCAGATACGCTCCAGTAACTGTCTGAGGAAATTGGCGGTTTGTGGCCTGCAAAACAAAATAAATGATAGCACATAAAAACACATATTTATTGATCTATTGAAATCTTTAATAAAAGTGTCATGCTTAAAATTTAATTCTGGTAAATGCATCTTATCAAACAAATATAAATTTGCTATTTATTTCTTTTCCCAAATAAATGAAATTTTACTTAACTTTTTTTTTTTTTTAAGCATTTATCTATATTAAAAATATAATATTTCATTTGAGGTGGGGTTTTGTAAAGTGTGCATGTTAACATCTTCCACTACAATTTGGTTTAAAAAATTATTTGCATGAAATTGTTTTTAAGGATATAAACTGTTTGAGTATAAGCAGGCAGAACAGAAATGTAAGACACCAGTTTGAAAGTACAATTTATGACACCAGTTTGAAATTACAATTTATGACACCAGTTTGAAAGTACAATTTATGACACCAGTTTGGAAGTACAATTTATGACAGGGGTAATAAGGGGAGAGACTGCAATCAGGTTAGTACAAAATAAAATGAGTAAAACAGAGTAGGGTTAAACCTGAAAAAATAAATGCAACAAAACAGCGAACGTGTCAGCAGAAAGCCTTCGTCAGCAAACAAAACAACAGAAAAAACGGTATAAAAATAAGAAATAGCACTTAGCTGGTAAGTAGTATCTGTGGACAGCAATAGAAGTGACACTTCTGTTGTTTTGTTCGCTGACGAAGGCTTTCTGCCGACACGTTCGCTGTTTTGTTGCGTTTATTTTTTCAGGTTTAACCCTACTCTGTTTTACTCATTCAATTTATGACACCAGTTTGGAAGTACAATTTATGACCCCAGTTTGAAAGTACAATTTATGACACCAGTTTGAAAGTAC